CAAGTAAAATTTCTATAAATGGCATTGAGTATATTTTTGTGGCATTTAATAAATCCAAGTTTTAGATAATATAGATAAAATTATACAAGAAATTAACGAAATTCACTACAATGCAAAGAGACAGTCTCTACTTGGGTTTAATTAAATAAACTGAGTTTCTTTTTCTTGCTGTCACCTGAACATGACTCAGTTTACTTGCACTTGCATTAGTGAATATATTTTTTTTCTCAGACTAAGTCTATTTTCTAGGTGACACATAAATTATTTAGATTTAATCCAAAACATTATGGATGTTCTGCGCGCATCAATTCTGAACAAATCCTTTCTTTTATAATTATAATTATCAGATTGTTTTCAACGATTTCATTGCAAATTTAGTACTAAACGATCAAGTTGCTAGCTAGTATCGTTATGATAAAATGGTTTCCGATAATTATTTATAAAGACATTTTCTTGCTAACAAGATTGAATTTATCGTGGTTATTATATTCCAAATTACATTTAGATTTAAGCTAGAAAATTAGTAGACAAAAAAAATAAAAATAAAAAAAATATCGTTTTAGAAGTCGTGGATCTTTTATGCTTCACCAGTTTCGACCGATTTTTTACATTTGTTTTGCATTAATATGATGCGTTTACTTCCACAATTAAGATATTTTTCACCCTTTTCTGCCCACTTTTTAATTTTTTATTTATTTTTTTAATACAATTGATTTTTCCGTCTTGAAAAATCGGCAAAAAAGTCAAAGTATCATTAGGTGCGTAAACGTGGTGAAAGGATGATAAGTGTTTATTACTTACACCATATCATAATTAATAGCGGGTAGATACTACTAACTGTGTATTAAATTGCAATTTTTTTAATTAGCGTTATATCAACACATGATCTATATAAGTTAATATATATGGTGTATGTATGTATGTATGTTGATCAATAGTAATTAAGAGCACAAGATGGGTACAACTCCTTTCTTATCGATCTAATGCGGACTAATGCGATAATTACGTTAATATTTTTTTCTATAATTATTATAGTAATTTATATAGTTTTTTGTAAGTTTCTTGTTGCTATGTTTGACGTGGAAATTTCATATCTTAATTAATTAATATAATAGAGGAGGGAATACAATACAATTAATACAATATTGTGGACGACTGGAAGGAACAATATTAATCTTTCTTATGACGCCAATTTTGACGGACCACAACTATTATTTACTTCCGTGTACCACAATAAATTATATTATACTATATAGTTCATTTCATATATATATATATTTGATTTTTCAAACTTTTGTTATGATCAGTTGGAAAAATGTGGAGAGATATTCAAATTTATTGTACTCTTTTTTTCAAAGTACTACTTGAGGAGTCACATGGCTGTGGTTTCTTCGAAGAACAACTTGGGTCGTCGCTCTAACCATATTTTGGAGTATGACAATAAAAGTCAAATATTGTCAAGTGTAAGCTTAAGTTATTAATTACCCATTTCATGGTTTAATTAATTAAATTCACACTCATAAATCATAGTAGTATTGATCAATTAATTAATATGTGTTAATCAGTCACGCGTTAAATATTTAGGAAGGATTAAATATTAAACTATTCCACTAATTATTAAAACCCAATGAGAAAAGGAGGAAATACATAAACAATAAATAGAAATATATCCTTATAATGATTTCTTATTATACACTATAAACAAGAATATATACTATTATATCTATCCATTTCAATATAATATATATATATATATATATATATTGATGTTCCCACTTGAACTACCTACCTTGTGCAAATTAAATTCAATTATTGCTGTTACAATATTATAAACCAATATATCCAGCTTGAGTAAGCAATGACGATAATTAAAATACCATACACTATTTCATGGTTTAATTGCAAAATATAGTCAGTATCTTGCACGCGGTGACAATTATAGCCACTATCTTTACGAATTGACAATATTAGCCAACAATTTTTAAAACTTTGGGGTTATTACCCATGTACAACGAATCGATGGCTATTGTTGCCACTGCATAAAAAGATACAGACTATATTTTGCAATTTAACTGTCGAATTTGGTTGGATTTGGGTAATAATGTCGAAATTTTGAAAGTTGTTTGCTAATATTGCCAATTCGTAAAGATGATGGCTATAATTGCCACCGCGTATAAGATATTGGCTATATTTTACAATTTAGCCCTATTTCTTTCCTTTTTTTTGGGCAAAATGGACAATAAAATGGTAAATTTAGGCGGTAATAAGAAAATCAAGCAAATTATAAAATTAAGGATAATATTCTCTAGTCCTTTTTTTGGGCAAAATGGACAATAAAATGGTAAATTTAGGCGGTAATAAAAAAATCAAGCAAATTATAAAATTAAGGATAATATTCTATAGTTTAGACTAATTTGACCCAGATTATTAGTTAATTTTCATTTGAGGATTTTATTGGATGAAACACTAGAAAAGAAGTATAATAAAAACAAAAATAATAAATAATTAAATGAAATAAACATAGGCAGAGAGAAAGGGGGGGGCCACATGTCTGCTTCGTTAGCCGATTCCCCGCCAGCCAGCCAGTTCACCCTAAACTTCAACTTCATCGATCATGTTGAATTTGAATACATGTGTGCACTTCTTTGGATTTCAATTTTGATAGTCTACAATTATTACTATTTGTTTACATAATTTTGGTGAATATATATATTTTCCGAATATCTACAAATGTATATGACTTCCAATTAATCCATCATCTAATCTAATAAAATGAATGAGATGATTCCAATAATTAAGTTTGTGGAGCGGTTTGACATCTATCGCCCGCATATTCATTCAAATTAAATACTTTCGAGTTTTTAATGGTGCGTGCATTTGAAACTCTCCTATTTATGGATATAAGTCTAACCCTTACCATAACCACAATACCGAGAATGGTTAAACGAAGTTTGACTCAGTACGAGTACTCGTCAAAACAGAGCTCGACTTGTTTAATGAACAAACTGAGTCGACCTTTGTATCATTTATTTGACGATTCAAGCTAGCCAAGCATGAATCGTTTAAGGATCGAACTCATTAACTCATTAGCTCATTTAGATTTAGTTAACATAAATGTCCGAGCCAAATAGTCGACTCGACTCTTCTACACCCCTTACCACCTAAGTTAAGTCTTTATTGTTAAATCATCATCTGAGTTCTGAAATAGTAAATAAAACATTTTAGTTATCTATTCAATTTAACATTATTTCATTTACTTCCAAGTCTTCATCAATTAAAAAAAAAAAAAAATGGTTATTCCTCAACCCTCGTGTTGGGCAATTTTAATCCACCAACCTGACTTATTAATCACTCTAAATTATCTGTATGAATCAATTAATAAATTAATAAAGTCCTATAATAGGAAATATCACCAACAGCCCTTGTTGGTACGACGAGCTCACGGTCACGGATCCTTACATTATTGGTCTCTTGATCATATTTAATTAGTTTTAACACTTAAAACATACCAATATTAAGGCAGGCAATACATTCGAAGTTTGTCAAGTGATCATTTAAATCTCTCAAAATAATCATTGAAATCCTTCAAATTTTAACAGTGAATTCGAAATTCTTCTAATCCATAAAATCATCTAGTTATAATAATTTTGTTAAAATACCAGCTAGTACATGATATTTTTTTTTTTTTTTT